GCTCATGTTTTCAGAAGTATAGTTCTGACTGACTCCGTGGCAGAGATATCATGGGAGAAGATATGATGGCACAAGCAGCTCATTTCATGGCAGCAAGAATGCCGAGCTCAGCAAGAGCACCAGTGAGAGATGTGAGCTTCAAATCCCTGCTACCAGGACCCTCCACTTCCAACTCCTAACAGCACATAGACATGTGAACATCAGAGGACTCAATTATTGATGAGTAAAGTTCTCCATCACCCAGACATCTCTCCATTAAAGTTTAAAATGTCCACTAAAAGTCACAGGTGTAACAGCATTTGAAGAACCACTCTGACCATGTTGCTATTGCCATATTTTAACTTTTACATACATTAAAATGGGTGCTTATAATTTCTGTAAGAGAATATACTGGTTTTAATTAATTATGATAGGATTAAAAACAGATATTTGTATTTATAAATTTTACTTCCTTTTCCACTTCTTGTCTCCATGTAAACTGAAGTTTCTATTTTTCCATTCAAGCTGAAAAACCTCTTTTAGTATGCTTAGTATTTAACACATTCTTATTGAAATGAATCTCAATAATTTGCCCAAACATACATTTATTTTTGTCATTTTTTTGAAGAATAATTTTTACCAGATATAGAATTCAAGATTGGTATCTTTGTGTTTTCTTTTAGTTTTTTAAAGATATTATTGCATTGTCTTGTCCATTGTTTCTGATGAAAACCTTTCTTTATTGGTGTTTTGTTGGTTCATAATACATAATTTTTCTGTGACTGCTTTGAAGATTTTTCTGCTGCAGACTCTGATGTGTGTGTTCATGACACACTTAAAGGTCACTTCTTTGTATTTATCTTCCTTACTCATCTCGACCTATAAGTCAAAGTTTTTTATTGACCCTTTTAATCAGTTTTAATGACCCTTTCCCTCTCTCTTGCCCTCTTCTCAGCCTCTCTTCCTCCAGCTTTTCTCTTCTCTCTCTCTTTCTCTCTCTCTCTGTATATATATATTTCCATAGATTTTGGGGTTTCCATAGATTTCTGCCATTATCTCATTCACTTTAGTGGAATAACTTTGTATCTCTTTTCTATAGATTGTAATTTCTATTAATTTGTTTTCTAAATTTCCAGCCCTCTGATATCATACTCTAAATTGACGACAGTAAGCCCGCAAACTCTTATTTCCACCTTTGGTTGAGCTGCCAAACCCTTAGCCAATAACTTATGGGAAATTTGTCCAGCCTTCCAGACCTCGACAGATTCCTTCTCTTAATGTTGCATACCACACATTTTGCTCACCTCAAGAGCCCAAATTTCTGCCTCATAATATAAGAGAGACTTCTATATTCTGTGCAAAATCCTGGTGACTACATGGCATGTAGGAAATTGTTTTTCTGCAAAAAAATTATGTACCTTTCAAGAATCATAGCCCATGTGTGAAGGACATTTTTCTTTCACTGATAGTTGGAATTCTAATACTTATTCACGTGCCTAATTGATTATACAGTGACTACTTAAATAAAACATTCTTTCCTCCATATTAATGAATCATTACTTTTAGTAGTATAACATGACAATTCTGCCTTCACAAAATAACATACAGTCATGTTTCTCTTTTTGTGATGATTTCATTTTTTTCCCAGACGGTAGAATTTTTTTTTTTAAAGCTTTGGTCATTTTCATCACTAGATGTATGTCTTAGTTACTGTCTTTTTCCTGCAACAAAATATCCTATACTCACAGTTAAAGGAGGAAAGGCTTATTTCAGCTCACAGTCTGTAGAGGTTTCAGGCCATAGTTGGCTGGCTCCAAAGCACAGTGGCATGGGAGAGAAGAAATAGCCCATTGCATGGTGAACATGAAGCAACAGTTCCTTCCTTCTTCTTTCTTTTTATTCTAGCCATGCTACAAGCCTGTGTCATCCATATTTGTTGGGTGTTCCCTCTCCCAATCATCATACTCAGAAACATGCTAAGGCAATCAGTAGACAAATCTGTTATCACATATCATGATCTAGTGCCACACACAATAACGCAGTCTCTCCAAAAATCTCCACGTATGATTACAGGAGGCTTTGGAATATATCTAGGTATAAGCCATAACAAAGTTCAAGTTTTCTGCCATTTAAATATTGGTGTGAATATAGAATGATCAGCAGTAAATGATTATTGTAGCTTGGCCTCATTATTAATAGATAAAGAAGATTTTGATACCACCTACTACTTAAATAATTCCCCTCCATTATATTGAAATGAAAAGTCCTATTAACACTGTTTGTTATGCAGAAGTTTGTAGCAACAGTTGATTGAGACAATAATCTAGAATCAAATCATAAAAATGTTTAATTAGGAGAATACAAAAATGTTGTAATAATCCACTTTTGCTGCTAGACTATCGGTGTTCAATATTCAATCCTATTGTTTTTGATCTTATGGTTTAAGTGAAATTAATTACCCTGTGCAGAAGTTTTCCCAATTGTAAAATAGGAACAACCACAGTGTATTTTTAAGGGTGAAACAAGCTAATTGTTTAATATTTATCTGATAAGTTCTAGGTTCTTAATGTTTTCAATCATTATTCAATTCAAACCAGTGAGTTCAGGTTTCATTCAGCAGGTCAGTGGTTTTCAATTATATTTCCATGAAAGATGGTAGTTTGGCTGACTAACGTATTTTAGTCTTTGATAAAATATATTAGCCTTTTCTCAGTATATACTGCATTTAAGAAATTTGGCATAAATTTATTCCAGAAATGTTTATCACTTACATATTTTTAAATCTTTAGTACTTGGGACAAATTGTAAGCCAAGTGACAAGTAAAACTATAATATATTAATAGAAAAATTCAGAAACAATCAATATACTAACTTTAAATCTAATTTTGGTACCACATGTATACATTAAGCTACATACTCAGTCTTTTCATTATTATTTTTTATTTTGAGACAGGATCTCCCTAGCTGCTAAGTTATCTAGGCTGAGCTCAAATTGGCAGTCCTACTGCTTTTGCCTACCAGATTGCTGGGATTGGAAGCATGTAATACTGCACCTAGCTTAAAACTATTTTAAATGATGTATATGTTTACAGTTGTCATTTTTAAAGTACACAGGCAAAACACAATATTTTGTCCCAGGAAAGCTGTTGCTCATTCTTGTGACAAGCCTGACTATGTCTTTTGTGCATATTTTACAAAAAAATGGTACTCTACCAAGAGCACAATAATTTTTAAATTATTTGTGAACTTAACTATGTTGCTGAGGATTAAGAATTTCTGAAAAAATCTATTTGATAGTTGTTTTTTATTTCAAGGGAGATCTAAACTTGAAAAGACATAGAATTTAATATGGCCAGAGGACAAGCAGGAAAATATCTATTCCTAGAAATATAAAAATGATTACTTCTTATAAGCAGGGAACAGGAAGATATGGATTATTAGAAAAGATAATAGGGAAGTAAGCAAGGTATGACAATATATAGATGCAAATGTTGAAGAAGAGGAAAACTTTTCCTAAATTTTACTTATAAATTAAAATCACCCCCAAGAACTGAATTAAAAATGCACAATTAAGATTGAGAAATTCAGAAATTGTGGCCCCAAATCCACACATATTGTTAAAAAATTCCCCATCGTATTTTGATTTAGGTGGTTTGGAGTCACATTTTTGATAACATTAGAATAAGGCTTTTTCTAATATTTGGAAACATTTGAGATTCAGAATCATTTAGCTTTTTGCCTATCCCTGTTATTACCAATAAGAACTGTTGCAGATGGTAAGTAAAAGGTAAATATACCTCCACAGTATTATGCCTGAGCACCTGAAAGACTTTCCATTATTAAAATGAAAAATATATTGACAAAATCATATTTTTGGAGATGGGAAAGGTAATCCACATTCGCCTTTCTTTCCTCCCTTCTTTACTCTTTCCTTGAATTGAATGCTGGACTTTCTTGGGAAGTTTTATTTTGCAGATTCGTGCACATGCATAAAACTCTTTGATCATTTTTAGCCCCTATTGTTCTCCCCACTCATCCTAAATTTTATGAAGTTATGGGACAAGTTTTATCTATTCACTATCCAATATTCAAAAGTTTGTACACTGCTAAGCCAATAATCTGAATTCTTAGTGACTTGTCAAACAAATATGTTTCTTAAAAAATATTAATAGTTACTTTGATTCTGGTCAGATGTTGTCCTGTTTGTAAATATCTACTCAAACTCAGGTTTCCTGAAACTGATGGCAAAGTCGAACTGTCACATACTATTAAGTCTTCTACAACAGAGAAGAGCTGCAAGAACCCAGTTTGAGTTCAATTTCCGTAAAACACGAGCTGGAGAAGTTTAAGTGTCTGGGTGGGCAGATCATAGGCCACCTGTATTTGGTTCTTGACTATATCCAGAAGTATAATCCAATTTTCGCCTATCTCCATTACTGGAAGTCTTCTCACTACTTGAAACAAGGAACTTGCAGAGGTTAGGGTCCTATCCTTCACAGAACAGGAGACAAGGCACTATCTTTCTTTTTACATTTTAAAGGAATGTCTCCCAGTTCCTTGAAACTGACAAGCCTTTTATAAAAAGACTTCAGCTCAAAGGGGCAGAAAAAGAATTTACAATTCCATGTTGTTTAAAGACATGCAAGTAAAATGAGGGGCCAGGAAGTAAAAAATGGTCTGTATAGTCTTCAATCAAGCAGAAGGAAATTAAGTCAGTATATTAATTATTAATAAGTGCGTTTATTAATTAGGTGTTTTTGCAGTTTTCCATCAAAGAATTCAAATTACGAGCTTAATATTTTTAATGCTTCCCTCATGTAAACAGTTGATACTAACATAATTCTTTTGTATACATTCTTAGCTTTACCTATCTTAAACCTTCGTTTTTGTATTAAATACAGAAGCCCAAGATCAGCGATCAATCTTTAGCGTTCCGGCCTTTCTACTGACATCACTGCGCGTGCGCGAGCTGCCCTGAGCGTCTGACGTCACAGAGTGCGTCATGCCCTTTCATATTAGCAACTGTGAGCGTCCCTAGCAGCAGTGGCTGCTGAGATGTACGAACTTCCGGTTCTTCTTCGCCGCCCTGGCAGGCACCGCTGTCTCTGGCCACCTGCCGTCCTGGGCCTTCGCTAAGGATCTGGCTGCCGCTTCTTTTCCAGAGGTGCCCATGGTCTCACGTGGAGCCAGGGTGGCCGGCCCGGCGGCTCCGACGTGGTGAGAGGGTGGCCCGGGGACTATGTCGGCCCAGCTCTGCCGCTGCTGCCTCAGAAACCTCTTGGCCTCCGCGCTGCTTTTGCTACTGCCCGCTCTGAGCAGGCCCGTGGCCGTGCTGCGGGCCGCCGAAGCCTCCCCTGGACTCGGGCCTCTGGCCTCTGGTCCTCGGACCCTGCCGCCGCTGTCCCCGGGTCCCACCGCTGCGCAGTCGCCGGGTCGTGCTCCAGCCGAAAGCCCAGTACTTCGCGGCCCAGAGGGTGGTAATGGCAGCAGCCCTGGAGCGGGACTCTCAGCGGATGATCTCAGCGGGAAGGCCGGGGAAGCCTCCTTGGGGGGCAGCCTGGCTGTGAGCCCCAACCCTGGCGACAAGCCCATGACACAGCGGGCCCTGACCGTGTTGATGGTGGTGAGCGGCGCGGTGCTGGTATACTTCGTGGTCAGGACAGTCAGGTGAGGCGAAGCCTCGAAGGCCATCCTGCGGCCGACAGGGCCTGACCCATTTCTGTGACCCGCATGACTCCCTCCCAGAGCCCAGCATGGGGCGCTTACCTGAGAGAGTGAGCATGACTGTCCCAGGAGCCTTTATCACCTTTGGGGGGGGGGGGCCTTAAACCGCCTGGAGGTTGCTGTCTTTCATTTACAAATTAATGTCAGCCCACTTCAGCCTCAAAGCACACTATCTGAAATGGGAAGAATTTCTATCAGACTATGTTACCATATGTTCCCCCACTGTATTTTCCTGTAATTGTTCAACCCTGTGCCTATCAAAATGCAGATGTTTTAAGGAGATTTATTTGGAAGTCTTAGTGTGCTTTGTCCAAAACTTTAATAGTCCTGGATAAAGACTTGTTAGGGCTATTCTATTTTTATAAAATTTGGTAGAAAAGTTGTTTTTTTAAATTCATAAATGTTAGAATTGTTTTTAATTTGCTGTTTGGTAGTTAGGTTGTACCTCCTTAGTTGGGGACCTGAAGAGTTGATTTACAGAGCCAAAGATTTCACCAAACATATGAGCAAAAGCTGTGCAGCGGTTTCCTCAGCTATAAAACGAGGGTAGCGGTAGGTTTTCAGGTGATACTTGTTTATTTTCCAAAACATACATTTTTCCCATAGTTATCTGTACCATTATGTCATATATATTTTAAAGCTGATGATTTAAACCAAAATTTTCTCTTAGAAAAACAAGTCATTATTTATGTAAGTGGAAAACTAACATCATTTGGTTAAATGACTGATGGAAGAGGTGCAGTGTAAGTCACTGTTTCAGGACTTATGGTCCAGGGACCCTTGAAGGAATCTGTCTTTGGGACCTATTATGGTGATCTATAGTATTAGAACTGTTTTACAAATAGTACATTCTTATAGGGTTAGTGAGTGCAAAACATAACATTGATTGATCATTTCATATTCTGCATTGCACCTAACATTAAGAAAGCACATCAAGTTTGGGTGTAGTATCAAAAAAAAAGAATGAGCACTGATAACTAAAAAGCTACTAAAATACTCTTTGCCTTTTCAAGTTCTATCTTTATAAAGCTGGATTTTTTACATGTCCTTCAAGTATCATATTGCAAATGATTGAATAGGAAGCAAATATGAAATTCTACCTCTTTTCTGTTTTTATTTTCTCTCTACTATCATTTTAGGCTAGATATTAAAGAGATTTGAAGAAACAAAGCTTAAGCCATTCTTTTCACCTTGTTTTTTGAACATGGTTTTGAATAAAATTGTTATAATGAATTAATTTTAACCAATAGGCATTTAAAAGCTTTCTTAGTTTGATTACTATTTTTGTATTAATGTATTTAATTTATACAAATAATTCCCCTGAGTAACTTTGAATATGAAAGAATTTTTTTAAGTTTTGGAACCACTGGCATAAGCGATATGACTGAGGTGGTTGCTGTTGTTCACACAGCCAGCAAATCCAGGCCTGCTTTTTGATACATGGGAAGTTAGAAAATGATCTACAGGTGTTAAAGATTTATTTTTCAGGGGCTAGGGATTTAGCTCAGCCGCATAAGCGCCTGCCTTGCAAGCAGGCAGTCATGAGTTCAGTCCCCAGTACTGATAAAAAGGAAAAAGACAAAAAAAAAAAAAAAAAAAAAAACAGATTTATTTTTCAACAAATTGGGATTTTCTTCTTGACATAAAGGAAGATGAAAAGGAAATAGAAACAAATTATGTATTCATAGTATTAATGTTATTTACTACTATTTAATTCCTATAAAGATACAGGATACCCTGATTATTATATTTTGCATATATGTATGGAACGGATATGGTGATAATATTCTTGGTATGTCCCTTAGTTGTTCTTCCTTTTGATTTGGCTTTCTTTATAATCTTATATACAAATGTTTATTGACATTGCATTTCTGTCTTTATTGCTGTACCACTTGGAAGAATAGAGCTTTTTCCTTCAGATTCTATTGGATGACTTGATACCGTGTTCTATGGGAGAGCCAAATTCTGAACTATGGCTAACATGTAACACATTCATGCTGTCCAAGTTCTAAATTTATTTGGCTCCCTAGCAGCCAAAGCTTGATTGAAGCTAATGAAGTCTGGGAAGTGTTCAGAACCCATACTTTCTGCTTCCAGATTTGGCTTTTGATCATTTTGGTAGATACTCCTGTTGGCTCCCACTTCTAAATATGTGTGACAGTAAACTAGCATCAGTCATTTGTGCCAATGGAAAGAGTGGGCCAAAATCTTCATTTCTATAATTGATACGAGATGACACTAAGAATATTTTACTTGTAAAACTGTATTAGATTGAGCTCCATGAAACTCCCAAATTGTTTTTCTGTAATTTGATTGAGTTACAATAAATATGTGGCTGGAAATCACAACTATTTTGAGTCCTGATATCAATGATTCAAAGGACAATCAGATTGTGTCTGTAGAAACTGAATATATATGCAAGGAACACAATAGGTACAGTGTAGATGTCCTGAGATGAACACATAATAATGTCTAGGGGAGGAGACTGCTCTTGTTCTTTCCAGTATGCTCAGTGCTGATCATTATATGCAATATACAGCATATACTGAATAAGCATTTGCTGCCAATCAATGAACAGTGTTAGTTCGTTCCATATGTTGCTGTACAGGATGGTGGAAAGGTTTAGAAATTTAAGGATAATTGCTGCTGACAGAAGAAAGAAGTATGAAGATATAAATAATTTTTTTCTTATAGTTATAAAATAATTTCATTCTTCCTATAGTTGAATGTATAAGCTCAGAGAAATTACTCTAGAGGCTGTTATTATTTCTGTGCATATATGTTGAGAATATAAATGCAATTGCTGGTCTACGTTTATGAATCATTGTCTTAGATAATTATTTAGATAATTATTTTCTTTGTACTCTGTGCTATGAGAGTTTTTTTTTTTTTTAATTCAGTATGTAGTGTGTTGGAAGGGACCAAGGTTTAGATTACAGTCCTTCCACTTTAATACCAGTGTGACTTAGCAAGTTACTTAACCTCTCCAGTATCAGAGCTCCTTCTGAGAAATGGGTAAAGTAACGTGCTGTGGTAGAGATGAGCATGAAACAGCGTTGAGAGGCTTTGTTCAAGCAGTCAATATTCAGCTGCCCAATAAAGGGCACAGGAGAAACGGTTGTAAGCAAAATAGACATTTGTACCTCGATTGGAGAGAGAAGTGTTGTCAATCATTACAGATGATTTAAAAAAATGAAGGAGCATTAAGATGTAGATTCTCATTAGACACCCTCCATCCGTTTATCTTCTTCCACTTCCCTTTCTAGCCTCTACTAATCACTATTTTATGCTTCAAGATCAACTTTTTTTTTTTTTTTTTTTTTTTTTTTTTTTTTACTTTCACAGGTAGGGAAAATGTGGAGTACATATCTTTCTGACTGTCTTATTTACCCTAATGTCCTTGGAAATGTGACTAGTAGTGCATCTAAATGTGCTCTCCTCTAGAACCGTTGTACTATGTGAGACAACTCAGCAGTTTAGCTAACTTTGATTTTATGGTTTTGCCATTTCAGTTCAAGTCTTCTATAGTTGCCAGAGCATAGTAAGAGAGATAAGAGAATGCACAGGCTTTTTTTTTTTTTTTTTTTTTTTTCTCCTTTGCTTAGAAATAGCCCAGTCACTTCTATTCAAGCTTTATGGGTCAGATCTGGATGTGAGTCTAGCTATAAAAGGGCTGGGAATTAAGTGTGTGTACTGAGGAAGGGATCCAAAGCACTAGTGAAGTCAACCATACAAAGTGATAGAGCCTAAGGTTATAACATCTGGAAAAAAAGCCCTAGTTTCTGCAGAGCCCAGAGTTTGAGTTCTACTTTTGTCCTTCCTCTATGCTACTCAATACGTTCTTGAAAAGATTGATAATACTTTTTACTCTTTCATTGGAATGAATTTGCACCTTATAAAACAGTAAAACACATACAGTGACAGTAAATAACACACAAGTAATGCTTTTGCAATTGACTTGTCTCCCCTTGTTTTCTTATGAAACATATATGTATGTATTATATGAACACACATTGATACCCATTGCAAAATTGTCCTAACTTCAAAAAGTAATGATGCCATAGAAAATGAGCAAAATACATCTGTCTTCTCCTCTCCTGTTACCTTTTCTTTCAAACCCAGGGCTTTACACATGCTAGGCAAGGGCCCTACTGCTGACCTATACTCCCAACCTCCTGTGTTCTTATTTTATTGATTAGAAAAATGCTTCCTAAAAGCTCTACTAAGAGGCATTCCTTTCTATCTCATTTGCCTAAGCTACTTCATTTCCTCATTTTTAGGTAAGGTCTAGCAAAAGAAAAATTACATTTTTCTAAGGGTTTCACACCAGCTGTTGTGGTCATCATGTAATCCTTGAGCCTGAGCTTTATTATTATCTAAGAAAAATCATGGTTCTTTTAAGCCAAAAGAAAAGGGTTATCTGTGTACAAAAAGCAGAGTGTTACAGTGATCAAAACTAAAAAACAGGCTAATTAATTATAATTTTTAAATGCAAGTAGATGCCAAGTCATTACTTTATAAGAACAGGATAAACCAAAAAATATGTTCCAACAAAAACTTTTATCCAGTCTTGTAGAATGTGTCGTCATTGTATTAAGGGTCATAAATGTTTTGTCAGTTAATTTTGTGACCTTGGGTAAAATTGATTTATCACAGAGAGCACTATAGGTTTTAAACTCTTGCTATGTAGTCAGAGTCCTTTTGCATGATTCATAGCTGTTCTGTTTATGGCCTCACATTTAATTTTCTCTAAATCTTGCCATTTTGTGTATAAAACAAGGGTATTTTATAGGCTAGTTATGAGGATTATAAAAGGCAGTGTTTATAAACTGCTTAACTCAATGCTTGATTTATGGGCATGCTGCATAAATATTGGGTATTCTTACCACACCAGGATTGTTTAGTATCTAGAAATGGAATTCTGATATATTTTTAAAATGTTT